TGTTAATACACTTGTTTTATTCGATCGACCCAAGCCCGCGACCCGATAGCCCCGGCCCAACTCCGTACCATTGCGAACAAAACAATTCAAAGCTTCAGAGAATGGCGAGAGCAGGCAGGGCTCAGGATCAGCTGTCAGCTACAGTACACAGACCTTCGTCATCTTCGGGATCCTTCTACCAACTGTCCACCACCTGCCCTCCCCAAAAGAAACCAAACCTCTGCTGCCCCATCGAAACGCCTGCCCCCTCTAAAAGACTAAAACCCCCCTCTTTCCCCGAAATCCTCCTCCTCGGACACACCAAACGATATTACATCTTCACCCTTCTCAAATCCCTGTGGGGAAGTCACCTCACTAGGGGCATTTCCGTCTTTTAGTAGCTTCCAGTCAAAGCGAAGGCACTCTGCTGAACTTCTGCGCTCCTGTTTTCTGATCAAAGCTGTGCAGTGGGCCCCAGCGTCCGGAAATACTAAGCTGTCAACATGTTTTTCGTTTGTTAATATTCAACACCCATTAAATCACCCTTTCAAGCACGGATAAAGTACGCGTCAAGTGGTCAAAAAGCCAGGTGAACTTAATTATTTACTAAACAACCATCGCTCGACAGGAGAAAAAGAGGGGGGAATCAATATCGACTTTCTCTTGCAACTATAAAATCATTTCTAAGTCACACCTTTTTTTTTTCCCGGTTACCCTTTTCACAAAAAAAAAAAAAATAAAGCAGAAGGAAAATAAAAAAAACCTAAATCGAAAATTGTACACTTTTCTTGCTTTCTGTTAATAACTCTAGTTTTTTTGGGTCACCGTGGTCCTGAGAGTTCCATCTCCTCAACTCCATCCATAGAAAGACAATCATTCTCATCACTACCATCATCATAGTCACTATTCATTAAGAACAATGTACTCGATTCTCTGTTGTGATTGGGCTCTCTTGGGCTGTTGTTGGACTGGGCCTGGGCTTGGGCCTTGTTTGAGGCCTCCCATTTGTCGACAAGGCCGTCGCCTTCCAGCATCCGGACAACCTCGGACATCTTCGGACGGTTGGAGGGGAGGTATTGAGTGCAGAGGAGAGCGACTTGGACAATTTCTCCGACTTCGATTCGGTCGAAGTTGGTTCCTAGGTCTCGGTCGACTAGTTGGTCTAGTTTCTTCTCTTGGTGCAATTTTTTCACCTGCACAAGCCAAGTTAGCACATAATTAATGGGCGTACAAAACTTACATCAGGCAAACCATAGGAGTCGATACGATCAGAGTGTAGCGACCAAGATCTCAAGCTGAACTATTTTAATAAGTTTAAACAGGCACCAAGAAAGGGCAAATGGAGAAAAAAATATAATTATGTTTTTGTAACCAAATTCAAATTAGTACCAAATATGTAGCTAAACACAAGGAAACTATTTCCAAGTGCAGTAATCTATACTTTTTTTCATCCATGAAAATCTGCAGAAAAGCCCACCGCGTGATGAAAATAACTTGACCCAAAATAAATTGTACTAGTTCTAGATTACCCTATGGTGTTGCATCAAAGCATAATGCAGATTAAATTTTGGCATCAAATATGTTCAGTTAATTAAATAAGTGTACAATAATATTATTCTATCTCGGACATTTCTAATCCTAATCTAATTCGAGGCCTTATTTGTCACATCAAAAAAGTCACTATTTTTCAGGTATATTCGAACCATAAAATTTGACTGAAAAAAGTCAAAAAACAAATATATAACAAAGAAATGTTCCTTTAAAAACAAAAGTTGATGTCTCCATAACCACTTGGTCAGTGTGACCTATCAAGTCAGATAATTATTGGAGGTTGAATGTGAAAAAATATTATCACCTAATTTAATCCCAATTATCACTAACATCAACAACTAAAAAGCTTATTCATGAAAAAATTTCCGATCAACTTACCCAATCCAAAATTGTGCCTCCCTTCTGACCACCGCTCCCCTTCCCAAACTGCAAAGCTCTCTGCCCAGTAACCAACTCAAGCAACAAAATCCCAAACCCGAACACGTCGGTCTTATCCGACGACTGCCCCGTCGATAAATACTCCGGCGCTATGTGCCCTACGGTGCCCCTCACGGCTGTTGTAACGTGAGAGTCATCGTGGTCCAGCAGCTTCGCCAGCCCAAAATCACCCACTACTGCTTCGTGGGTTTCGTCTAGGAGAACGTTGGCTGCTTTTACGTCCCTGTGGATTATCTTAGGGTCGCATTGCTCGTGCAGGTATAGCAGACCGCGGGCAGTTCCAAGGGCTATGCGTTTTCTAGTTGTCCAGTCGAGAGGGGGCTTACCTGCCGTAGTTAGCAAAATTAATAGTTAATTTTGGGTAAAACAGAAAACGAATATACAGCATCCTCCATAGAAAGGAGAGGACATTTGTTTGCTATCAATTTTAAATCAATACAAGCGCATATAAAATCAGCATAACGAACAAGATTAATACAGAAATATCGATCGTTATTGTTTGATAGTTTACATATTGATGATTTAATTTACTGATTTTGTATAAAATCAATACAAGCGCATATATTTTGTTCGCATATGTTTATTGTTTGATAGTTTACATTGATGATTTAATTTACTGATTTTGTATACTATTTGTAATGATTTAAAAATGACCCATGCATGCAGCGCCCCTCATTATTAATTTCATTAGATGATATCCTCTGTATGATTTTGTTCCCCGTGTACTAACAAAAAATGATCCGCGGGAATAACGTACGTCTGAGACGAGACGCCACGCTGCCGTTGGCCATGAACGGGTAAACCAGAATCCGTTCCGTTGAGGTTGCGCAGTAGCCTATTAGCCGGAGCAAGTTTCGGTGCACCGCGAGACTAATCATCTCGACTTCCGTCTTAAACTGCGCCTCTCCTGCGGAGCCCACATCCTTGAGTCGTTTCACTGCTACAATCGTGCCGTCCGATAACTTGCCTCTGTAAACGTTCCCGAAACCGCCTTTTCCCAAAATGCACTTTCCGCTAAAATTCTCCGTCGCCGTCAACAGTTCTCGTAGTCCGAACTGACGGAGATTGCCAAGGCTGACGGCTACTGACGGTCCGCATTCTTCGTCTCCCTCTGCAATCAAAACTTGGGCTGATTATTTGCACCAAGCAACTAATAATTATCTCATTTGCAAGTCAGTACATTTTCTAAGGGGTTTTTTTTATATAACCCAAAATTTTTATCCCAATTAATTCTTAAGCCCAAACTATGCATGTACTGAATTATTTTGAAACCACGTTCACGTTTCAGTTGACATATCGAGAAGAATTTAGCACTTATATTTGAGTCTATGTGGTTCTTAATTTGGATTTAAGATTCTACAGTTGAGTTAAAATAACTCAGTATGTGTATTTTTGAGTTTAAGAACGATTTTGGAAGTAGATGACTTTAGAAATAAATCATAATAAAACTTTGGGTTCACAATGTAAACTCTTTTTAAATTAAGAAAGAAACAAACCTAAAAGGCCAAGAATGGACTGATGCTTTTGCTTCTTTCTCCACCAGAAGAAAAGGCTAACGGAGAACAGTAGAACGAAGGTGGCGCCAAGGCTTGATCCCAACGCAACGGCTAGTTTTTGGGTCTTGGGTGCCTCTACACAATTTGAGTTCATAGGAAAAATTATTTCAAAGTCCAATATGGGGTTTTGGAAAATTTACAATAAGGACAGGGAGAAGAAGTTTACTGTGGGGTGAGTCCAAGAGGAATGGGAGAGAAACAGGTGTCAGTGAAGTCTTCGAGCACTCTTCAGTTGTCTTGCTTCCACATATTAATGGATTCCCAACAACACTAAATATATATATAAAAGACAGTTAACACTGTCAAACAATAAGATTTATTTGGGATAAATTATGATCAAATGTAGGAAATTTGAGATGGTTATTTACTTAAATGTCCTTGCAGGAAAAATAGGAACTGGACCACTGAGATTATTGTAAGACAAATCCCTGAAAAAAAAGATTACAATTAATAAAGGAAATTGGGAAATGAACTAAGGTTAATAATAATGAGGATTAAAGATTTTAAATTTTTACAGGAAAGAGAGCTGGGGGCCTTTTGATAAGGATGCAGGAAAAGAACCACTCAAGCTGTTATTGTTCAGTCTCCTAAAATAACAAAAACAGAGGGATATCATTAGTTGCAGTCTCAAAAATAATTAAACAAGGGAATGTAATTTTTGGGGAACCACAAAATCTCTGTTCTTTTTGCAATTATTATTTAATTACTCACAGATATCTAAGGCTCGTTAAGTTTCCCAATGAGTCCGGAATTTTCCCAGAGAATCTGTTATTTGAGAGGTCCATTGTTTGAAGCTTTGGGAGTAGCCCGAGCTCCACTGGGATTTCCCCTGTTATATTGTTATTCTGCAATAAACTAAGATCCCAAATTGCAAAAAACAGTAAATATTTAGATTATTTGAGAAATACCCATACGCTATTTTGGTGAAATTGTTGAAATTTGGTAGCAAATTCTTACATTTGCTGAAGATTGGTGAGGTTTCCAATCATTCCAGAGAGTTTTCCTGATAGACCTTGGCTTGGTGCTCCCCTGAGAGGAAGGGGGAAAAAACCATGTAATTAATCTCAAAAAATTTATATTTGTTTCCATTAAATCATTAAAATGAATAAACATAAAAGAGATTAAACTTACAAGCCAATGACAAGATTCTGAGAAGAGCAGGTGATCATAGCCCAGCTGCAAGGATCAACAGAGTCTTCATCCCAATTGCTTAGAACTCCATGGGGGTCATTCAAATCTTTCCATATAGCTATCAGAGCCTCCACTATTAAATTAAAAAAAACAACCCATTAATCTAATTAGATAGGTGAACAAAAAATAAAAGAGAGAAGGGTATTGAAATGGAAGAAAACCTTCCATGTTGAGGGGCTCAAAGGAGGAAGAGGGTCTGAAGAAACAGAGGAAGAAGAAGAGGAGGAAGAAAGCCATAGAGAGAACAGAGGAGGAAAGGCTAAAGGAGTGTTTTTCGAGATGTTTAACTTGCTTTTGTTATCATATATCCCTTGTAGGGACTATGAAGAGTGAGATCAATGATTTTGTCCAATGCAATACATGTACAGCATATATACATTTGTTTTGTAATGGAGGGCTGTGATGAGAGAGAGAGAGAGAGAGGATACAGTAGGAATTTGAGATTAAGGAGGTGATTCTGCTGTCAGAGAGAGAGAGAGAGCTCAGAATTTGATGGGGGAGAGAGGAGAGAGAAAGAGCAGATGAGGGTGGGGAGAGAGAGAGAGAGAGCGAGCAGAGGAGGGGTGGGTGGGCAAACATGGACTCACTCTGTCAGCGTGCGCACACTCATTGCATGCCCATGGAAAAAAGAAGAAAGGGATGAGAGAGAGAGAGAGAGAGAGGGAGAGAGAGAGAACAAAAGGGGAGCAAAGAGAAAAGGAAAAGAGCTTGGGGTTCTTTTTCTTTTTCCCCCTTTATTCTTTTTTATTTTTTCTATCTTTCTTTATCTAAAGGCGAAAAGAGGATGGATCCTATGCAATATTTGGGAAGAGGTTTGTAGCCTATTTCTGTATTTCACTTGCTTGCATGCTTATTAACGGTCCTACATTAGTGTTGATTATGAGCTAAGTATATGTTGCTAGTGAGAGGTTATGAAATCTAAGTTTTCTTCAATATACAGCAAGCCAAAAAAAATTTTTGAAGTAATCTCAAAATGGCATAAGTATGCTCTGATATCACAATGATTTGAATACAGTCTAAGAAGCCATTCAAATGAGACCTACCCAAAGACTCGAAGTCATCAATACGTGCTGGAATCTTAATTTTCCCTTAGTGGAAGCTCATGCGCCTAAGTGTCTTTTTAAAACTAAACCTTTTTCTATGATTTAACACGTGAAATATCTGTTTCTTCTCAAATGCTCTCAGATGCATGTAGTGTTGTGCGCCGCGGAAGCCCCAAATAGACAAATCAAAAGCACACACAAGAACAATAGTAGACCACAAGAGATCACAAGCTACCAATCACAGCAAGAACACAAGATATACGTGGTTCGGCAATGTGCCTACGTCCACGGGGCAATGAGGGGGAAGCTTTACTAATGAAATCAAAGGGGAATACAAATTAGGGTTACAAATCTTACCCAAAACCCTAAAATAAGACCACTTGATCTCTCCAATAGACTCCAACAATAGAAGCCCTCTAAATCCCCTTTCAGCAGCTCAAAATCGCCCAAGCCTAACCCTAGAATCGAGTTTAGGGTTTAAATACAACTCACAAACGAAACGGATCTGGAAACAGAACCCAACTGAAACCCGCAGCGTCGGTCGACCGGACCGGTCGACCGCGATCCATGTCGGTCGACCGGGCTGAAGCCCAGTGAGTCATGTGCACGAATGCGGTCGACCAGACCGGTCGACCGCCACCCTGTTTGCCTGAATCTTCACCTGTCAACCTCCCTCTGCTGCTGGTTCCACAAATCTCCACCTCGGCGAGCGTTTGCCAAAACTGAGCCGACATCAAAACACCCCCAATCAACTTAACCGGCAGCATCTGCAAGACTACCTACGTATCCTCTTGCCCAAGGAATCAAGCCGAACGTAGTTCATCCAAATAGCCGCCAACGGCCTCAACAATGAAGAATATTCAAAAATTTCAAACAGTGACCAAACTTCACACCTGGCACGACTTTGGTCAACATATCAGCAGGATTGTCCTTAGTGTGGACCTTCTCCAACGTGACATCACCATCATCCAATACATCACGTACAAAGTGAAATCTGACATCAATGTGCTTCGTGCGTGCATGGTAGACTTGGTTCTTAGCCAAATAGATAGCTGACATACTATCACAATGTACCTGAATGGTCTCCTGTGCAATCCCCAAATCATCCAACAAGCCATGTAGCCACAAAGCCTCCTTCACTGCTTCAGTCACCGCCATATATCTCAAAGCAAAGAGAAGACGATAAACGCTGCTCTCTTAATCAGAAGGGGATGATTTAAAGGAAGCGAAACAACATGGAAGAACATGTACACACCAACAAACAGCGTTTGGTGTCGCGGCTCCAGCGCGGCAGTTCATGGCGCCGCGGCCATGGCGCGACAGCCCATGGTGCCGCGGCTATGGCGCGGCAGCCTATGGTGCCGCGGTCGTAGAATCCACTTCACGGCCTCCCAATGCCCCTTCCCGGGGTTGTGCATGTACCTAGATACCATGCTCACGGCCTGTGACAAATCTGACCTAGTACACATCATAGCATACATCAAGCTACCCACTGCGCTAGCGTATGGAACCTTGGACATGTAGTCCCTATCCTCCACTGAAACTGGTGACATCAAAGCTGAAAGCTTAAAGTGGGGAGCTAATGGAGTACTCACCACCTTGGTATTACCCTCAAAGCTGAATTTCTTCAGCATCTTCTGCAAGTAACTCTTCTGTGTAAGCTTCAATCTCCCCTTCACCCTGTCTCGCTCAATCTCCATACCCAGTATCTTCTTAGCCTCTCCCAGATCCTTCATCTCAAACTCAGATGACAACTCCTTTTTCAGTTTCCCAATAGCTGAAGTGTTCCTGGAAGCTATGAGCATATCATCAACATACAATAACAAATAAATATGCTCACCATCCTGTAGCTTGCGCATATAAACACACGGGTCATAAGGGCTCCTCGTGTATCCTCGGCCAATCATAAAGCTATCAAATCTCTTATACCACTGTCGCGGTGATTGCTTCAGTCCATAAAGAGATTTCCTCAATTTGCACACCAAATTTTCCCTTCCTGCAGCTTTAAACCCCATAGGTTGTGTCATGTAGATCTCCTCATCTAAGTCTCCATGTAGAAAGACCTGTTTCTCAAGAGTTATAATTTTTCTTTTGTTGTATAAAAGAAGTCTTATAAAAAGACTATCTCTTTTGAATTTATTGTAATCGACCGAAGATATAATGAATTCCACAACGAGACCAACTTTTGACGCAAACAAGCTGGCGACCACAGTGGGAGCCAACGGTCTCGCTGCCGAGACTGTCGTGTCGCAGCCAATCATCAAGATCCCGGTTGAATCCATGGTCGAATACGAATTCGACCAAACCAAGTTTGAGGAATATCTCTCATCATCCTCTTCAAGATCTTCATTGTCTCGCAAGTACAAGAGGATCTCACAATTGAGGAAGACCTACATGCCAAAGAAGGCACAAAATGAAGACTCTCGCCTGATTGTTGCTGAGGATTTTACTCGCAACACCTCTGCTCACAATGATTCTTATCTAGTTAAAGAGTCATCGAATCAAAGCCCACCAGCACTGACGAAGAGGGCTCGTCAGAGACAACATCAACGCCGCGCTCGTCAACTAGCTAAGGCCTTGGAACAAACCGCCGGGAGGAAACAACAAGTGGTTTGTTCAACGCAACGACAAACTACTCACGTTTCTGCACAATTCACGACGGAGGAATGGACTATTGTCAAAAGGACTCGTTCGACCTTCAAAGAACGTATACAAAAACGTCGTGCAAACGCTGCTCATGCCCGAGCTCTCCTACAACAAAGACAAGAAAGGGAGAAGGAAACGGTGACCAAAGAACCACCGAAATTCTGCCAAGTTTGGATTCCAAAGTCTGGAGTTGTGCAAAATCAGCATTCGAAGCCCGTTAAGACTTCATACTCGCAAGGGGGTGGTTCTAAACGTGCGACTCCCGACATAACCTTGGATCGCTCAAAGATAAAAATAAATTGTCCTGAGAATGCCAACAAGGTTTTACACCCCCAGAAGAAGACGCATTCACCAAATGATATCGTCATATCTGAGAGGTCATACCAACAGACGATACGATTTTTTGGCAATCATACCGATGAATCGTATTATCAAGTTGGGGTTGTGAATAATTTTCGAAAGAGAGTTATTCGAGAAATAAACTCTCATTGTTCCTGTGCGCGACTCATTAAAGCAGCATTATGTGATTGTTTCAAACGAGAAGCCATCCCACGAAGAGTCTCTGTATTGTCTAAGCCTAAACCGAGATATTTCCGCAAAAGAAAATCAGCTGCCCAAGATGATGAATTCCCTGAAGTCACCATCAATGTGGCTGATAAAAGAAAGTCTAAGGGGCATTCAAGTGACTCAAATCCCGACTTTTCCCCGAGAGGAAAAGTCAATCCAAGAATTGCTCAAAGGATGTCTCGACTCCAATTAGGAGCCATCAGACGCAGAGATTACAAAAGAATGCAAGAAGGAATGTCCTCGGAGGATGAATTCTCGGACACTTGTTCTGCAATCGCTTCTGATGATACAATGTCTAGCACGGGACAAACCAGAGAAGTACTCACGATCACCTCTGATCAATTTGCTCAAATACTTCAAGAAGCTCTAGCCAAACAACATGAAGAAATTAGAGCTGAAGTGAAGACAAAAATGGAGTTAGCTATCCAACAAATGAGAGAATTGCTAACTCAACGGCCTCAACCTCCTGAGTCCAATCAGCGAGCTGAATCCAGCCGCCACACTCAGAATATTGTAGATAACAGTGATCCAGAAGTGGATGAAGTCATTATGGCCGATACACCTCCCAATGGCAATAACGCTGGGGGTGGTTTAACACATTCTCCCAATAATGATATTAGGAGTGATTCAATGGCACCTCTTTGTAGGCGTCAAAAAATGCTGAAAGATATCCAAATACAGCTCAAGAGGAAATCATCCAAAAAGGCAGAAAAAAACACAAGTCTTGACTGTCTCGCCGTGCGAGACAGACTTGACTGTCTCGCCGCGCGAGACAGTCTTTACTGTCTCGCCGTGCGAGACAGTCTTTACTGTCTCGCGGGCGAGACAGACTTTTACTGTCTCGCCCACGCGAGACAGTCTTTGCTGTCTCGCCCGCGAGACAGTGTTGAAATAGTCAAAACTACATTTGTAACTGCCCTACACGTGTCACTATCTTACATCGATAAGATATCGTTTCAATTTCTCACTTCGATAAACGAAGTCAGAATCATAAACCCCTCACGGTTCAATCAGAATCTGTGATTTGGTGGTCCACGAGTCAAAGCGCTCCCGGCACAGGCAAAGATCCCACGAAAGCAGTGATCCAAACAACGATCCTGCGTTTATTTTCTCAAGAGTTGTAATTTTCTTTTTGTTGTGTAAAAGAGTCTTATAAAAAGGCTGTTTTCTTTGAATTTATTGTAATCGACCGAAGATATAATGAATTCGACAACAGAACCAACTTTTGACGAAAACAAACTGGCGACCACAGTGGGAGCCAACAGTCT